AATGCTGTCTGTAATTAGGATACTTCAGAGGCTTCCTCTCTGCTGACTCTTAGCTGCAGCCTGTTTGTCCTACAACACCCATCTCAAGGCTCCAACCCCCCACCACCTCCATTGTGCTAAAAAACGAGGTAGAGGTGTCAGATTAACGCTTTCTCTCGCTTTTGCAAAAGTGTTTGCTAATTAGATTTTTTTAGAGTGTGGTTTTTGCCTTTAAAAAGCAGGCCGTTTTTTTTCTTAGCTCATCGCTGCTTTTCTGTGCCTGCCTCTCTGCCGGGCAGAAGTGGTCCTGGCCAGTAAATAAAGACTCACAATCTGACTCAGTTCGGTTTCCAAGGTGGTCTTTTCTTGCACTCCGAGCTATAAGAACCGTAAAGGTGCTACGAGGTCATTAAGTTGCCACCAAAGTGTGCAGGTAATTTCTTAAGCCCAGAGCTCATCATTGTCCTTCTCCAAGGCCTCTGGCGTGCTTAGAAACAAGCAGTCTCACCGTTCTTCTTATTTCTGCAAAAAAAAAAAAATGTCCTGCAGCATCTTGTCTGTCTTGACAGCTGAACTTTGTCATCCCGAAATTCAAGGTTGAAATCCCTCAAGCACTTTCCGGAGCCTGCTGACGGTGTTTGGAGATGGGCTTTCAAGAGGTGACTGGGGTGAAATGAGGTCACCCAGGTGGGCTCTGATTCAGCGTGACCGGTGGGCTTACCAGAAGAGGAAATGGGGACCAGCACTGAGGCACAACCGCCTGAGGACACAGCCGCCAGCGCCCGGCCATCTGCCAGCCAAGAAGAGAGTCCTTAGAATAAACCCAGCCTGCAAACAACACCTCCATCCCGGACCTTCAGAACTGGAGAAAATACATTTCTGTGGTCCGAGCCACCCAGTCTGTCCTGTTTTTTTTTTAACGGCAGCCCTGGCAAGCTAATACAACGGCAAATACATATTTTCCTAAAACCTGGCTTGCTTTCTTCACTGCAGGTGTCTAAAGATGGTAAACTATGTAACTTTTATTTCTTCCTTCAAGAGACCACACACACACTTTTTTATTTTATTTTATTTTTATTTTATTGATACAGAGTCTCACTCTGTTGCCCATGCTAGAGTGCCATGGCATCAGCCTAGCTCACAGCAACCTCCAACTCCTGGGCTCAGCGATCT